AGACCGCAGGCCTGGCCCAGCACATTTTGCGGTTTTTGCTCCTTTGTTTTTCGTCGGTTGTGGGCTTGAACTCTAGGCCTGGGCGCCGTCCCTCAGCCACAGCGCCACTTCCGGTCTTCTGAGTGATTTATTGGAGATCAGAGTCTCCTGGACTTTGCTGCCCGGGCTGGCTTTGAACCGCGATCCTCAGAGCTCAGCCTCCTGGGTGGCTGGGATGCCAGGCGAGAGCGCCCTGCGCGCAGCTGCGTTTGGTTTCTAAACGGCTCACGGGACTGTGGCGCATGCGTGCTTTATTAAATCACAGCGAACACACAATCACAAAGAGCTGCTGCAGAAGAAGCGCGTTCGTTCCCAGGCCGGCCGGCGGGTCTCGGCTTGCCCTCCCTTGGCCCCAGGGGCGGAGAAGACCCCGCCAGCGCCTCCGCGTCCACCCAGGGCCCGCATCCCCGGGGCCTTTGCCCTAGCCAGTGTGCCCTGCGGTCGTGTTCACCTGTTGCCCCGAGAGCAGGCCTGTCCCTGTTCTCAGAGCACCCCGCGGATCACCGAGGCAGGAGAGCAGGGAGCACCCGATCCCCGCGGATCACCGAGGCAGGAAAGCGCGGACCATCACCCCAGCGGAGTCAGAGCCGTCCAAGGAGGGAGAGGAGTGGGGGAGGCGGCCGCGGGTCGGGCGGCCCCAGAGCTACCTGTGGGCCTGCGAGGTGGCGTTCATGTGGTCCCGGATGCTGATGGCCTGCTTGAGCAGGCCCTCCACGCTGCGGAAGTACACGCTGCTGTCCACCAGGTTCTTCACAGCGCTGAAACAGAAAAGGGAGGCGTGGGCGGGGCCCCACAGGGGCGAGGCGTACCTGGGGGCGTGGCCTGGGAGTGGGCGGGCCCTGCGTGCGGGTTGGCGCTTTGTGTAGGGCGGGGCCCACAAGGGGGCAGTGTGAGGGGCGGGGCCGGCACGACTGCAGCACAGCTTATGTATGGGAGGGGCGTGGCTTGCCCGTGGGTGGTGCCCAAAGGGGTGGAGCTATGAATAGGCGTATTACAGGAAGGGCGTGGCTTGTGTGTGGGCGGCGCCGAGGGCGGGGCTTGTGTATGGCAGTGCCCCAGTGAGGCAGAGCTGGCCTGTGGTTGCGGGCCCCTGTGGTTGCGTGCCCCTGTGGTTGCATGCCCCGGCGTGGGGTGTGGGACGAGCCGTGCGAGGGATGGAACCGCGGCAAGGCAGTGCCTGTGTGGTGCAGAGCTTGTCTGCGGGAAGGGCCTTGGGGTGGAGCTTGGGCGATGGTCCTGTAGGGCCCAGCACGCATGCCCCTAAGTTCAGGGCTCCCCCCCTGCAGACTACAGAGGGAGGACCCCAGAAATGTCACGTCCAGGACTTGGGCTGCGGGGCGGGGAAGGGGAAACCTCCAACCCAGCCTTCCTCTTAGATGACAGCTTCCTGCCGATGACCAGAGGCTGCCACCTCAGCGGGCAGATGCCCCACGAGAAGCTCAGACTCCACCAGAAAAGTCACCCCAACCAGGGCTGCGTCCACTAGAGCGGCTCTGGCTCCCCCGGGGCTCCCCGCACCTGGCTGGGCCTATGTGCCCACAAGCGCAATCGGTTTTATTTGAGGATAGAACCCAGGGCCTCCTGCTTGCTCGGCAGGCACCTGAACACCCAGACAGGGAGACGTCACCTGGGACCCTTACCTGCAGGCGTACTCCACGGTGTAGATGGCTCCCTGGCTCTGCTCTTCCCAGCGCTGCATGTCGGCCTGTGGGGATGAGGGTGGCTGGAAAGAGGAGGGTGGGGGGAGGGGAGGGTCCCCCTCATGGCAACCATCCAGGGCCTCCCTTTGTCACACCAGGAGAGCATTTGGCTGCTGAGCCACTCCCCAGCCCCTTCAATGCAGCTCCCAAGTTCTCCACATGCCCATAAAGGCTTTAATCCCCACACCTGGGGGCCTTTTACCTGTCAACACACACACACACAGACACACACAGACACACACACACAGACACACACACACAGACACACACACACACAGACACACAGACACACACACACACACACACACACACACACACACACACTCAGCTGTAGGAGTCCTGGTGGAGGGGCAGGCCACAGCAGGCTTACCTTGTGCTGGGCCAGTTCTGGCAGCGAGCGGCGCACGTGTTCCTGCAGCCGGTACAGTGCCACGGATGGTTCATTTGCCAGAACATAGACACTCTCCGTGAACTTGTCCGTGACTGGGTGTGGACAAAGGGACAAGCATTAGACTGCAGCCAACGGCCCACCAGAGCTGACACATCCCTGCAGTGTCCCCGTCCCCCGCAGTCCCAGGGATGAGCTGAGAAGTCTCCAGCAGGGCCTCAATTGAGGCCACTAATGTAGAAGGTGAACTCACAGCCTTTCTCTCTCTAACTTCTGCTTGAGATCCTTTGACTTCCTTTTACCCAGTGACCTAGGATTGCTCTTCCTAGCTGGCCTCAGCCATGACTGACCACTGTGGGAGAGAGAAAAGCATGTATGCCTCACCCCACGGGGACAACTTAGAGACACTCCTCACCCCACGGCATAACCCTGGGGGGCGGGGGCCTCCCTCACTGGTGGATACAAGCGCCTGATATGTGGCTAGAGAGAGAGTGAGGAACGAGATTTTGAGTGTCCTTTAATTTAAACCAACTTCGATTCAAATAGCTACACGAATAGGTATAGGGCCTTTACACTTGCTGTTCCCGGTTCTGAGACACCTCTTCGTTTTTCCCTTGATGGTACAGGGGATTGAACCCAGGACCAAGATGTGCCTGACAGCACGCTGAACTCTTCAGCGACATTGCCAGCCCGACACACGTCGGGGGTCGGTTATAGGCCATGAACTCTGGGCCTGGGCGCTGTCCCTCAGCTCTTCAGCTCAAGGCGAGCGCTCTACCACTTGAGCCACAGCGCCACTTCTGGTTTTCTGGTGGTTTATGGGAGATCAGAGTCTCGTGGACGTTCCTGCCCGGGCTGGCTTTGAACCGCGATCCTCAGATCGCAGCCTCCCGAGTGGCCGGGATGACGGCGGGGGCCGGCGGCGCCCGGCTCCCGGCCCGCGCGGCTGGCGGGTGCAGACCCCGGGCCGGAGCAGGAAGCGGAGGGGCGGGGGGGGCGCCCACCTTTTTTCCCTTTGAGCTGCATCTCCGGCTCCTCCATGGCGAGCGACCGCGGCTGGCGGAACCGGAAGTCCGGGGGCGGGCAGCAGCCTAAAGCTTCCCCGAGGAAACCGGACGTCGCTCGGCCCCAGTTCCGGAGTCCGCCGGCCGGGCTGCCCGGACAGCGCGGGGCCCGTAAGCGGCGGGCGGCGGGGCCGTGGGGGTGGGGGGGACGCCCGGAGGCACGGGGGGTGCCTAGGCCGGGGAGGTGCGAGGACTGTCCTCCTGAACCCCCTTCTCCAGGGACAGACCAGCTGAAGGACAGAGCCACGAATTGTCCATTTCGGGTCGGATAAGCGCCTTCCTTTGGTTTCCTGGTGGCCACCAAGTCCTGCGAGCGGTGGGGGAGCCCAGGACCACAGCCGGGACCCTGTTTTGGGGAAGGGACGCAACGCTACCTTATCCCTTTAAATTCCAGATGTCCTGCCTACTTGCTCGTGCGTTCAGCCCGGACCAAGCCCCGCCCACCCGCGCATAGCTGGAGCTGATTGGTTCCATTGGAAATCTCTGTGGGCGGAGCCATAGAAAGGAAGCTGACTGGTTGCCCTGGAAAGCGCTGTGGGCGGAGCCGGAGTGGCGGAGCCGGGAAGCCGTGCAGTCCTCAGCACTTCCGGCGGCCCCGCCCACTCCCCCCCCGAAAGCCAAAGGGGAGGGCACTGCGCAGGCGCAAGCGTGCTGGTTGGGGGAACCCAGCGGAAGCCACGCCCCTTCCCCAACTCTTAAAGGGACCGTGGCATCTCAGGATGTTTAGAGTAGGGATGCGCAGGCGCAGTGTGGGCGCTTGGGGTGGGAAGTAGTGGTTGGGTATCGAGTTGCTGTCCGTCCCGGCCGGGGAAGCCTGGGCGCGGCGGGGTCCTGCTCCTGCCAGCTCTCTACTCTGTCCATTGCAGAAGAAGTCTGTGAATTGGGCCCCCCTAAGTTTTGTGGGAGCCGGGCTGGCGCCGTGGGGGGACAGAGGAGGCTCGTGGGCGGTGAGTGGAGCTCTGGAACGATTTGGGGTGTGGGGGTGCAGCGCATCTTTGGTGAGCGCTGCTGACGTGTTTCGGGGGACCCCAGGCACCTCGGGGCGCCTGCGGTGCTGGCAACAGAACTGATTTCCTGGCTGGGAAGGAGGCTCGGCGGCAGAGTTCTGGCCTCGCACGCATGAAGCCCCGGGTTCGAGTCCTCGGCACCACACACACAGAAAACGTCAGAAGTGGAGCTGTGGCTCGAGTGGTATAGCACCAGCCTTGAGCAGAAGCAGCTCAGCAGCGCCCAGGCCGAGGTCAGGCCCCTGGACTGGGGAAAGAAAAACAACCACGGAATTGCTTTGGTCTCCTTTTCTTCATTTTACTTAGGTGGAGACAGGCACAGCGAGGCTGAGTCCCTGTCCAGGCTCTCACAGGCTGCACGGAGGAGATCTGAACCCAGGCCACAGACTCACACCGGGGCTCTGAAGCACTGCGTGTTACAGGTGCCTTGCACCCCAATTTCCACTTCGGACACCCAGACATGGGTTCCCCTCCCTCCGGTGCAAGGCCAGGTGTGCCCGGGTGCCTTCCTAATAAGAGCCACTCCCCTGGCTCTCCCTGGTTCCATCAGCGCCCCATGGAGCCCACCACGCCCGCAGACCACCTCCCGACCCAGCAGTCCCCGGAACAGGGGCACCCCGAGGTCCCAGGCGATGAAGCTGACGATGGCTCTGACACTGTGGTCCTCAGTCTCTTCCCCTGCACCCCAGAGCCTGGAAATCCGGAAGCCGATGCCAGCGCCTCCTCCCTGCAGGGTAGGAAGTCTGACTGAGGGTCAGCTCTGTCCTTATGGCTCAGGACTCTGGATGGGAGGAAATGAGTGCACTGAAGAAATGAAGGGAAGGAGACAAAAGCACGCCTATCCCCCAGCCACGCAGCAGGCTGAGAGCTGAGATCACGGTTCAAAGCCAGCCGGGGCAGGAAAGTCTGTGAGACTCTTAAAAAGCCAGATACAGTAGAGAGCCATGGTTCCATGGGTAGTGTGCTAGCCTTGACTGAAAGAGCTCAGGGACAGCGTCCAAGCCCCAGTACGGAGTGGAGACTCGGCCCCGGGGGACTGTGGCCTCTCCCTTCCCGCAGGCAGCTCCCTGAAGCACTCCACCACCCTCACCAATCGCCAGAGAGGCAACGAGGTCTCAGCCCTGCCCGCCACACTGGACTGTGAGTGGGGCCGGAGCCAGGTGGGAGGGGCTGAGAGGAGCAGTGGGGTAAACTGAGGCGGGGAGTGGGGGCGGCGTGGGTGAGGACACTGCCGCTCTCTGGCCTCCAGCGCTGTCCGTCCACCAGCTCGCGGCACAGGGGGAGCTGAGCCAGCTGAAGGAACACCTGAGGAAAGGTGGGAGCGCAGCCTTGACACACCTGGGGCCCTGGCCCGCCCTCCCTGTCCTGGGGGGAGGGTTTGGGAGGGGGGTGCAGGGAGCAGGCCAGGTGCAGTGAGTCAGGGGACCCTTCCTCCTGCCAGGGGACAACCTCGTCAACAAGCCGGACGAGCGGGGCTTCACGCCCCTCATCTGGGCCTCCGCCTTCGGGGAGATCGAGACCGTGCGGTTCTTGCTGGAGTGGGTGCGTCGCGCCCCCCCTGGGGATCTAAGGGGGACAAGGCAGCGGGCGGGCTGGGGTCTCAGCTCGCTGAGCTGCCTGTGTGGGGCCGGATGCCCCAGGCTTCGCCAACCGCCTGCCGTGAACCCCTAGGGTGCCGACCCCCACATCCTTGCCAAGGAACGGGAGAGCGCCCTGTCCCTGGCCAGCATGGGCGGCTACACCGACATCGTGGCATTGCTGCTCGACTGTGACGTGGACATCAACATCTTTGACTGGGTGAGGGGCTAGAGTGCTCCCGGGCCTGTGTGAGGCCTAGTGTTCACACACTCACACACACACAGAGTGTGAACTCAAGATAGACTTGCCCTCCCACCTGATCCATGGAGCTCCCAGTGTGCTGCAGATAGACCTGCAAACAGGGAACTCAGAGGCAGTGAATGGTGCTATGATGGTAGGCACATACGCAGCTGCAGGAGCCCAGAGGTCACCAAGGGAAGTCAGGAGAGAGTTTCCTGGAGGAAAAGTTTGGAAGCCAAGGCACACATGATAAGTCTCTACTCAGAAGTGTGTGTCTGTGTGAGTCTTGGGGTTTGAACTCTGGGCCTGGGCACTGTCCCTGAGCTTTTTTTGCTCAAGGCTAGCCCTCTACCCTTTGAGCCACAGCTCACTCCTGGCTGTTTTGGGGGATGGTTCATTGGAGATAAAAGTCTCAGGGCCTTTCCTACTGGGTTGGCTTCTTGAACCATGATCCTCAGATCTCAGCCTCCTGAGTTGCTGGGATGGCAGGTGTGAGCCCCCAGCGCCTGGCTGAAGAGTCAGTCTGGAGCATGGGCCGGTGAGGGGAGAGATCGAGCCTGGTCCCTGTGCCCCACTTCCCACAGAACGGAGGGACGCCGCTGCTGTACGCCGTGCGTGGGAATCATGTCAAGTGTGTGGAGGCCTTGCTGGGTGAGCGCGGACGGAGAGGGTGGGCTTGGGATGTGGGGGGTCAGGACAGCCACGTGGAGCCCCTCCACCCCCCTGCCTGGAGCCGAAGGGTGGGGAAGAGATGGGCTGGGAGAGTCAGGCGGCCCCACGCCCGCGCCCCCACCCCAGCGCCTGCCCTGATTCACAGCCCGCGGTGCAGACCTGACCACCGAGGCTGACTCCGGCTACACCCCCATGGACCTGGCCGTAGCCCTGGGATACCGGAAAGGTGGGCCCCCAAGCCAGGGCCACGATGGGCGGCCACAGAGGGGGCAGGGGACAGGGACCCCCAGAGGCCCATGGAGGGTCCTTGTTAGCAGACTCAGCCCTGTCCTGGGACAGGCAGAAGTCTTCTTTCATAATAACAGCCAGGCTGCATGGTTTAGAGCGAAAAGAGGTTTTATCTTTGGTGATGCAGCCTTGCTTTCAAAACCACCTGCTAGCGCGGTGAGGAGAGGTGGGGACCCACACAAAGGCTCTGCCGCCCCCCGCCCCCCGGCTGAGGTGGAGACCTGGGGTTCCAGCCTCCCCTTGGCCTCACTCTGGTTTCCCCCCCAACCTCGCTCCATGTGCAGTGCAACAGGTGATCGAGAACCATATCCTCAAACTCTTCCAGAGCAGCCTGCGGCCTGACGACCCTGAGTGAAGGCCGCTCCGCTCCCAGGCACTCAAGACACTCAGGGAACAGAGGGGCGGCCCAGAGCGGAGGGGTGGGGGCACCTAGCGGCTTCCAAGGCAGCTCCTGGACAGGCGGTGGCCCAGGATCCTCTCAGGTGGAACCAATAAATCTTCTGTGCAGAACTGAAAGGAGTCCTCTGTGTCCCCCGAGGGCTTCCTGGAGGCTGTGTGGGGCATGGGGGGGGGCGGTGCCCGCATTACGATGCCTTCTTCTCCCCCAGCACCCGCAGGTGATAGATGACCACACGGCCAAAAAGGTCACTGGTGTCCTCAAAGGTCACCTTCAGCTGGTCCACCTCAGCCGTGGGCACGGGGAAGGTGTGAGCACAGGCAGTTAAGGGAGACAGGTGGTTCTCTGAGTGTTGCCCACCAGCCCCCACCCCCCCCAGACCAGGTAATCCTCGCCTCCCTGCACAAGGGGGCACAGTGGAGCCTGGGTGACCTCTTGTTCCAGGCCCCCCTGCCCTGGGTACCCACTGAAGTCTAGGCGGACCCAAAGCCTCCCCACGGGGCAGCGATGCCATGACCCATTGGGCAGGCAGGGCCGGATATCTGGAGCGAGTTGTTGTCCTCAGGATAGAAGTTCAGAATCTTGTGGAGGGAGGCACCCCGCTGTGACCCTGCAGCAACAAAGGGTCGGGTCAGTTCAAGTGTGGGGGCCCTGGCGTCCCACCTCCCGGCCGGGCCTTCCAGTACCTTCCAGGAGGCCCCGGCGACAGGAGAAGCCTCCCTGGAACTGGATCTGCAGCTGAGAGACGCGGATGCGCTGCGGAAACTCCAGCCACACCCACTGGGAAGGTCCCTGCAAGCAGAGGAGACCCATCTCCGTCACTCACACACAGCGCTCATCTCCACCACCCCGACAGCGCCCAGCGGGGCTCCCCGAGGCCCTGGAGGGTGGCCCCCCGGGGATTGGGGTCCGGAGAGAACATCACCTGGTCTGAGTTCCAGCATGTCTCCTCCTCCTGGTCGAAAAGGTGCTTCTTGCCAAACTGCCGAGTGTTGCGATTCAGCACCGAGCTCACCCTGAGGGACCAGTGTCAGGGTCAGGGTCAGGGCCAGCTCTGGGCAAGGAACAGCTGAGCGGGCTCACCGAGGGTCTGCCCCACCACCCACCGGTTCAAGGCCCCGCCCCTCAGATGGACACGCCCCCTCCTTCCCCCGCCCAGTTAGGGCTCCCACTAACCACACCCCCTTCTCCTTCCACCTATCAGCTAGTAGTCCCGCTGGCCACAACCCCTCCTTCCACCTATCAGCTAAAAGTACCAATAGCCACCCTCCTGGCTGAGGATCCACACAGGCCTATCAGCTCGGACTGTCACTAGCCACGCCCCCTCCGCCTTCCACCTATCCGTTTAAGCAGCACTTGCCACGCCCACTCATCGCTGAGGCTCCACCTCAGCCTATCAGCTAGGACTGGGCTGGCTCTCCCCTTCCGCTAGCCACGCCTCCTCCCCTCCACCAATGAGCTAAGACAACCCGTGGGCAAACACCTCCCCACGGAGGCAGTGCCTGGGCCTATCAGCGAGGCCTCCCGCTGGCCCCGCCCCTCCCGCCGAGGCCCCGCCCCCCGCCTACCGGCTCACGGTGTGCGGACAAACCAGAGACTGTGTCATCTCGGCTCAGGGTCGGGTCGGGTCAGCGCGGGCTCGGCCGGCTCGCGGCCGCGGTCACGGGCGGCGCGGCCTGGCCTTCCTCTCCAGGAAGGAGGAGGAAAAGTCACGGCCTCGCCCGGCCAGGCCCTCGCTGGGGAGCCGGAGGCAGCGCAGAGCGAGCCCCAGGGCTCCCGCCGACGGACCGGGGCCGCGGGCACGCATCCCGGAAGCGCGTGGGCGCGGCCGCGCGGCGCCTGCGCACTGTGACCGCACCCCCGGGGGCGGCGCTTGACTAACCTCCCTCCCTTCGTGCCCGCCTCTTAAAGGGCCCGCGTCGGGCGAGCTAGGGAAGGAGGAGGCTAGTTCTGCAGCCCCAGGCTCGGTGCCTGGCGCTCGCGATTAAAAACCACTAGGGCGGGGGGTGGGGGCGCTGGGAAGGTGGCTCGGTGGTAGAGCGCTTGCCTAGCATGCCTGAGGCCCTGGGTTCGATTCCTCAGCACCACAGACACCGAAAAAGCAGAAAGTGGTGATGCGACTCAAGTGGTAGAACGCCAGCCTTGAGCCTGAGGCCCAGGGACAGCGCCCGGGCCCAGAGTTCAGGCCCCAGGATCAGGAGAAAAGAATAGAAGAGCTGAGGGAGAGGCCGGGGTGGGGCAGGTGTCGTAGGCCTGCCTACAGCCGGCTCTGGCGCCTCAGCTGTGATCCCAGCCACTGGGAGGAGGAAGCCGGCCGGGCAGCAGAGTCAGACTCCTCAACTGTAACTCACTGCATTGCTAGGATAGAGGGGATGCACTGAGGGATTACGCTTGCACAAGTCAGGTAGCGAGTGCATTTCCTTTCGTCCCGTGTGTCTTCTGTTCCCTCGTTCTCTCCCAGCCCCTTCCTCCCGTCTCCACGCCCAAGTGGGGAATGCACCCTACACAAGGTGAAGAAGACAGAAGCATTTAAAAAGACGAGAAACTAAAACTGCTTTTTTCCCTTAGGGTCCAGTCATGGGGCCTGAACTCTGGGCCTGGGCACTGTCCCTCAGCTCTTCAGCTCAAGGCCAGCGCTCTACCACTTGAGCCACAGTGACACCTCTGGCCTTTTCTGCTTATGTGGTGCTGAGGAATCGAACCCAGGATCTCATGCATGGGAGGCAAGCACTCTACCACTGAGCCACCTTCCTAGCCCCAAGACTCTTATCTCCAATGAACCACCAAAAACCCAGAAGTGGAGTTGTGGCTCAAGTGCTAGTGCACCAGTCTTGAACAACAAAGTTCAGGGACAGTACCAGGGCCCTGAGTTCAAGCCCCAGAACCTGCAACAAAACCAATTGGGTTTTTTTGTTTTGTTTTGGTCAGTTGTGGGGCTTGAACTCTGGACCTGGACGCTGTCCCTCAGCTCTTCAGCTCAAGGCTAGCCTCTACCGCTTGAGCCACAGCGCCACTTCTGGTTTTGTAGTGGTTTATTGGAGATAAGAGTCTACGGACTTTCCTGGGCAGACAGGCTTTGAACCGAGATCCTCAGATCTCAGCCTCCTGAGTAGATGGGATGACAGGCATCAGCCACCAGCGCCTGTCTCCAATTGGTTTTTTAAAAGGCTCAGACCCCTCTGTACAGTATCTTCACAATAATAAAAAAATTCTAATAAAAAATAAATAAGGGGCTGGGAAGGGGGCTCAGTGGTAGAGCGCTTGCCTTGCATGCCTGAGGACCTGGGTTCGATTCCTCAGCACTACATAAGCAAAAAGAAAAAAGCCAGAAGTGGCGCTGTGGCTCAAGTGGTAGAGCGCTAGCCTTGAGCTGAAGAGCTGAGGGACAGCGCCCAGGCCCAGAGTTCAGGCCCCACGACTGGACCCAAAAAAATATAAATAAATAAATAAATAATAAAATAAAAATACATAAAAAGGCTCAGAGTAAAGAGGTGCATGTAACACCGAGGCAGGGATGTTAACTAACTCCTCCCCCCACCCCCCTCCCCACCTCAGGGAACAGCAAATGCACAGGCCCAGTTGGTGAAAGAACTTGTTTGTTTGTCTGTTTCATTTTGTTTTATTAAGTCAGTCCTGGGGCTTGAACTCAGGGCCTGGGTGCTATCCCTACGCTTGGCAGTCAAGGCTGGAGGTCCACCATTTGCACCACAGCTCCACTTTTTTTTTTCCCCCCTGGCTCCTTGGAGACTCGAGTCTCACTGGTTTTCCCGCTCAGGCTGGATTTGAACCTCGGTCCTAAGATCTCAGCCTCTGCAGGCCGGAGCCCCTGGCGCCCCGCTGAGCCTCTGGAGCCCTGTCCCGTGGGAGCTGGAGCGGCCTGTGGGAGAGGGCCGGCTGCCATCTGTCTGTTTGAATAGTGGCCCCGCAGATGGGCCAGCCGTCGGGGCTGGAGACGTCCTGGCTGGCTCTGAACGGCCCCCTTCCTCCCAGGGCTGGGGACTCACCCCTGGCCGCCCACGGGGGTCTGCCCCAGGCCAAACCCAAGCTGCTGGCAGGGAAAGTGGGTCACAGCCACGGCGTTTCCCATCAGCCCGTGCCTGCCGGGCCTTCCCGCCCACATCTCCTCCTTTGGGGGACTGGCTAGTGCCAGGCAGCCCCAACTTTGCTAGTCTGGGAGCGGAAGCTGGGTATCCTCACCCCATCACAAGCTATGGGTTTACACCTGTCATCCAGCTGCTCAGGAGGCTGAGGTCCAGGATCACAGTTCAAAGTCAGCCTGGGCAATAAAGTGGGTGAGACTCTTATCTCCAAGGAACTACCCAAGAGCTAGAAACAGAGTTGTGGCTCAAATGGGAGGGACAGAGAGACAGAGAGAGAGGTAGAGACAGAGAGAGAGAGAGACAGACAGAGACAGACTCAGAGAGGGAGAGAGGGGAAGATCATGGCCTCTGGCCTAGGTCGTAAGCTGGGGAATGCTGTGTGCCCTCAGGCTCCACCTTGACCTCTCTTGGCCTCTCCTCTCACCCCCGGAAGTGGGGGCCAGGGAGTTCTTAGCGACAGTAGGTGGGCCTGGGTGAGGTTCAGGGTCTGCTGGACGCCGGCCCCTCCGCGCTGGCCACAGCCGGCCAGTCCACCCCCCTCTTTTATTGAGAAGGAAATGGCAACTTGGCCCGGGTCTCCAGGGCCCCTCGTGCAGGCTCCTGGCCGAGGCGGGGGACAGCGGTGCCCACTGGGCGGGCGCCAGCGCCTCACCCGCTTCCCGCCTCCTCACCCTGCTGGCGCCTGGGCATGAAAAGAACTTCCTCTTTCTCCAGGGAATTGGCCGCTGAGTTCCCAGACAAAAGTGGTCCATTCATCCCCAGGAGGGAGGCTGGGAGCCTCCCTGCTTCCCCCTCCTCCCTTCTCCCCGCCTCCTGGGGGGGGGGGAGGCAGGGAGGGAGGAGAAGTCTCAGAAGCCACCATTCTGATTGCCTAAGGGAAACTGAGTCACGAAGAAGCCAAAGTCACTTAGTGGAGATCGAATCCAACCCTGGAGTTCCCCGCCCTGCCACCACTGAGCTCTGAGGCCCAGTTTTCCGGATGAGGAATGGGAAGATCAGAGAGGGTGAGGGATGAGTCCTGCTTGCACAGCACCTGGGGGGTGGACTGGTTAGGGGGTCCACTACAGGGCCATCGTAGTTGATTGGCGGAGACACCACAGCTGTGACTAATGTGGGGCGCACGGGGTGGGGTGAGAGAGTTCCAGGTGCAGCAGACTCATAGCAGTCTTGTTCTGGGCGCCTGTCCTGGGGCTTGAACTCAGGGCCTGGGCGCTGTCCCTGAGCTTTCTCACTCAAGACTGGAGCTCTAGGGGCTGGGAAGGTGGCTCAGTGGTAGAGCGCTTGCCTTGCATGCCTGAGGCCCTGGGTTCGATTCCTCAGCACCACATACGCAAAAAGAAAAAAGCCGGAAGTGGTGCTGTGACCCAAGTGGTAGAGCGCTCGCCTTGAGCTGAAGAGCTGAGGGACAGCGCCCA